AGTACAGACCAGAGTTCGAAACCTATCCAACTGCAGAGAGGTGTAAGACAGGGTGACGTTATATCCCCGAAACTCTTCACCGCTGCATTAGAAGACGTTTTCAAGCTACTGGACTGGAAAGGATACAGTATTAACATCAACGGCGAGTACATCGCTCACCTTCTATTTGCCGACGGTATAGTCCTTATGGCAGAATCGCTGGAGGACTTAAGCACTATGCTCAATGACCTCAATAGTGTCTCCCAACGGATGGGTCTTAAGATGAATATGGACAAAACAAAGATCATGTTTAATGTCCCTGTCACACCTATGCCGGTAGTTGTTGGGAGCACCATGCTTGAAGATGTTGACGAGTACGTTTATCTGTGAAATAGTCCGACTAGGTAAGTCCAACTTCGACCGAGAGATCAAACGACGGATTCAACTCGGCTGGGCAGCGTTCGGAAAATTACGACACATCTTCTCGTTAGGTATACCTTAATCACTGAAAACCAGATTGTACAACCAGTGCGTGTTGCCAGTGATGACTTACGGATCTGAGACGTGGTCCTTCACTGCTGGCCGTATGAGAACGCTCAAGGTCGCTCAGCGAGCTATGGAGAGGGCTATGCTCGGAGTTTCTCTGCGTGACAGACTCAGAAATGAGGATATCCGCAGTAAAACCAGAGTAACCGACATAGCCCAACGGGTTAGTAAGTTGAAGTGGCAATGGGCCGGCCATATAGCTCGAAGAACCGATTACCGATGGGGAAGAAATGTAATGATATCTTATATTTACGCGAACACTGCACGTTGAAATAATACTAGTTTTTACGGAATTTATGGCGTATATTTAACTTTTTAAATACCCGACGTTTCGAACGCTTTAAAGCACTCATGGTCACGGGTGGGAAATGTTCTCGAGTGGCAGTCTCGTACCGGTAGGCGTAGTGTAGAGCGACCCCCCACTAGATTGTGTGACAACCTGGTAAGATATGCAGGAAGTCGATGGATGCAGGTGGCTCAGGACCGTGCTTTGTAGCATTACTTGGGGGATGTCTATGTTCAGCAGTGGACTTGTAAAGGGGAGTAATGATGATGAAAATTCGCAACCTTCGATAATGATCTCTGAGCTCTCTCTAAATCTAAAAACTTTGTTTTTGTAGCACCTTCCCATATACTAATACAATATACCAGAAATTATTGAACTAAGGAAATGTATACTTCAGAATATTTTAATATGCGAGGGTATGCGAGATGTCTTAAACTTTTAAAAATCATATTAATTTTCTAATCCTAGTCATTAAAAGTTCAATATGTAGATGCCAGGATAATCGCTGATCCAATTGTTTTCCAAGATATTTTGTACTTGATACTTTGTTTATGTGAGGGCATGAGCAGTTAGAGTTATTAAGGTCAACACAAGAATGAATTTTAATATCAAAACTAAGTTTAGTCCTATTGTAATTAGTAAAACATATATAGTTAGTCTTAGATGTATTGATAGTTAGTAAATGTAGTCTCAACCACTCTACAACCGTACCTAACCCCACTCCAACGCTATGCCGGACATCTTCCCAGCTTCGACCACAGAATGCCAAAGCAATATCATCTGCATACGAGAACAAGTGCCCATTTTGGAGCGACATGTTACATAGGGAGTTTGTGTAACCCAAAAATAGTGTCGCACTCAGTACGGAGTGTACTGTGGGACACCGTAGGTAATGGTAGAATCATGATTACAATGCTCTCCTATTTTGAGCAGTTGTCTACGGCTTGTTAAGTAATCTTTAAATAAATCTAGGGGTTTACCTCGTATGCCTATTTGTTCAAGTTTCTTTATAAGAGTGGGACAGAGACGCTATCAAAAGCTTTTTTTATGTCGAGAAAAACTGTTAAACATTCATTTCCTTTGTCGACTTGGTCAATAATGAGTGACGTTGGTCTTAAAATAGCGTCTTCTGTGCAAACACCTCGTCTGAAGCCAAATTGTGACATTGAGAGTATATTGTATTTATTTAAATAATTAGTCAAACAATTATTTAACAATTTTTCTAAAATTTTGGATATTGCGGGAAGAACGGACATAGGTCTGTATTTATTTGGATCGCTTCTGTCTCCAACATTGTATACAGGAGTAATTAATACCAACTTCAGGGCAGTAGGAAAAACGCCATCCCTAAAGCAAAGATTAACCAGGCGTGTTATTATGGGTACTAATATTATATTGGTCTGTTTTAGAAACTTGGTGGTGATATTGTCATATCCAGGGGCACTCTCTATTTTAATATTTATCAATATATTCCTAACCTCCGAATCATCAGCCTCCAACAAAGCAAAAGATGAATTATGGGTGGTTCCTGTTTTATCCGTAGTCGAAAAATTAATAGAGTTAGGCCTTGATAGAATATCCTCCGCCAGGTATTTCCCAACATTGGCAAACAGAAACAGAAACAGAAACTTTTTTATTCAATGTAGATTATAACAATACTTATTGAAAGTCACTTTTCTTAATTTACCACTGGTTCGCAAAAAAAAACCTCTGTCCTGGGAAGAACGAGCAAGAAACCCAGGGGGACTATTTTTTTTTCAATAATAGTGTTACGAGCTTGAGGTTCGTGACAATAAAAATTGCCGATAAAATTACCTAAATTAACACTTTAATTCACTTTACACAAATTAAAACTAAAAACACTAATAATTAAACACACTAATTCACTTAACTCCGCTCCGAAGCTTCGCTTGTGTCGCCGAGTTCAACTCTGCCCGATCGCATCTTGCAGCGCCTACTTATATAAATTAGCAAAATATCCAGAATGTTCAAGTAAACACGCGCAAGGTACCGAGAGTTCGAGTTTTAAACTTCAAGAAGTTTGGTTCTTTGGTTCGAGACTAGATGGCGCTAGTGCGCCGATTTTAGCGCGTAACACTGCCCCCTCCTAAGACATGCTCGTCCCGAGCATTATCGGTCCCATAATAACGCGCTAGGCGATCCACATGGACGATCTTAGGAGTCCCTCTTGCGCCTTTCTGTATCCGGTAGGTTACATCGCTGATCCTGGTCACTATCCGGTACGGGCCGTCCCATTTAGCTTGAAGCTTAGGAGATTTCCCTTTGCTGCGGACTGGATTGTGCAACCACACAAGTGAACCTTCGTCGAACCCTTTGTTGTTCATTTTGCGGTCATACCGGGTTTTCATCTTTTCAGACATTTGCTGGCCCGATTGTCTGACGTGCTCATAAACGTCATTCATTTTGTTCCGCAAGTCATTTGCATAATCGGTTATACTGCGTGGAGCATCAGGTGGTATCCCGGTGATCAGGTCTGCAGGCAGCCGTAATTCTCTTCCAAAGTTTGCGAAAGCTGGTGTCACTGCTGTACTTTCGTGAACAGCGCTTCGTACTTAAACTTTAACTTTTGCTAGGTACCTCTCCAATGTCTGATTAAATCGTTCTACCATTCCATCAGATTGCGGGTGATAAGAAGTCGTTCTTGTTTTATGAGTACTCATTACTCGGCAAGTTTCCTGGAATATTTGAGACTCAAAATTCCTTCCTTGATCGCTGTGAATCTCTAAAGGTACACCAACACGACAGAAGACTTCATGAACTAGCTTATCAGCAACTGTTGAAGCTTCTGGATTTGGAATGGCGAAGACTTCTGGCCACTTAGTGAAGTAATCCATCACAACCATGAAATACCTGTTACCGCTTTCACTCTCCGGAAACGGCCCCGCCATGTCAATGGCTATTCTCTCCCATGGTGCACCAACATTGTACAACTTCAATGCACCTCTACTACGAGTCTGAGGTCCCTTTACGGCCGCACAGCTTGTACATTTGCGACACCAGTCCTCGACATCGTTTCGACAGTGGACCCAGTAAAACCGTTCTCGGATCTTCAGTAGAGTTCGTTTAACTCCCAGATGGCCTCCTGAACAATCATTATGGTACAGCTGTAGAACATCCGGTACTTTAGCTTTAGGGACAACCATTTGCAAATGACAGCTGTCTCCCCGAACACTTTCCCATTTACGGCACAGAACTCCATCCTGAAGCAACAAGCTGTCCCACTGGGCCCAAAAGCTTTTAGTGGTCGAACTCATCGCTGAGACGTCGCTCCACTTGGGCTTGGGAGCACTGGCCTTCATCCATTCCAGAATCGGCTTGATGTCCGGATCTTTCTGCTGTGCACGTTGTAAGCTGTCCTTCCACTCGTTGCTGAGGTGGTCTGCCCTGAGCATCCTCACGGATACCACTTCCTTACTCTCTTGCCTAGTACAATGTTTGCAATCTTCAGGACAAGGTCTTCTTGACAATGCATCTGCGTTGCCATGAGATTTCCCGCTGCGATGTTCGATCTCAAAGTCGTATTCCTGCAGTAGTTCAATCCACCTAGCAACTTGTCCTTCTGGGTTTTTAAACTGCAATAGCCATTTTAGTGCAGCATGGTCAGTTCGTAAGTGAAATTTTCGTCCCAGAAGATATTTGCTAAAATGTTGCAACGACTTTACCACAGCTAGCAATTCGCGTCTTGTGACACAGTAGTTCCTTTCCGGTTTTGACAACGACTTGCTGAAGTACGCTATCACGACATCTTGGTCACCATTACGTTGAGACAACACACCGCCAAGTCCTATATCACTTGCGTCTGTGTCAACTATAAATTCTTTGCTTGCATCAGGGTATCCCAAAATAGGTGTTTTGCACAGACGGTCCTTGAGCTCCTGGAATGCGATATTACAACTTTCATCCCAGCAGAAATGTCGCTTCTCCTCGGTTAGCTTATGTAGAGGTTTGGCTATATCTGCAAAGTTCTTCACAAAACGTCGGTAATAGGAGCACAAACCCAAAAATGCTCTAACCTGCGTCTTGTCTTTTGGAACCGGCCAATCCTTGACAGCGGCGATTTTCTCTGGATCTGTGCGGATACCTTCTTCCGAACACTACATACCCCAAAAAGTTGACTTGCCGTTTGAATAGTGAACATTTCTTCGGACTCAACTTGAGGTTGGCACTCTTAATCTTCATGAGCACGCGTTCCAAGTTTTGAAGGTGTTCCTCAAACGTACGGCCCACGATGATGATGTCATCCAAGTAGATCAGACAGACATCGCCAATTAGCCCGGTAAGTACAAGTTCCATCAGCCTTTCAAACGTTGCTGGAGCATTGCACAATCCAAACGGCATTAATTTAAATTGCCACAGACCCTTTCCCGTCGAGAACGCAGTTTTCTCCTTGTCCTTAGGGTCAATTTCAACTTGCCAGTAGCCACTTTTTAGGTCCAGCGTGCTAAACCACTTTACTCCTGTAAGCATGTCCAGCGTGTCTTCAATTCTTGGCAAGGGATAGCTATCCTTCTTAGTAACGTCGTTCAGACGGCGATAGTCAACAAAAAACCGCAAGCTGCCATCCTTCTTCTTTACCAGTACCACGGGTGAACACCATGGAATAGATGAAGGTTCAATAACACCATCCTTCACCATTCCCTTAATCATGGTTTCCACTTCCTTTTCACGTGCTACCGGCAATCGTCTTGGCCGCTGACGGATAGGCAACTCTTCACCTGTGTTTATTTTGTGTTGAACTAAACCAGTCTTTCCTATGTCAGCATCGTTTGATGAGAATACATCGGCGTACTCGAGTAACAACTTCTTCACCTTGACCAATTCGTTCGGGGACAGAACACTGCGACAGTCTTCCAAAAGTGTGGTCACTCTCGTTTCTGAATCCTTGCTGGGGGTCCCACTCGATATATATTGGCACTGACGTAACCAATCCACTTCCTCACAAGTACCAACCAGTGTGCCTTTTTCTATAATCTGTTCCCGGTCGCAAAGGTTCAGCACACGTACTCCTGAGATGTCAGTGGTCCTGACCAAGGTTCGAGCTACTTTCCATGGAAGGTCATTGTTTACCCTCTCCACAAGTACACAACGGTGAGCTTGCCCAGCGTTTCGAGGAAGACTAACCGGAACAATCGTTTCCGATCTCGGCGGAAGAACAATCTTCTTGATCCTGTACACGTTCCCTGGTAACGCAGCTTCCATAAAGAGTTCCTCCTGTCCACATTTCAAAACACCTTGCTTAACGTCGATCTCGCAACAATTATTCCTCATAAAGTCTAAGCCTAGGATGCAGTCGTCCATTATATCAGCCACGATGACATTATGCAGGTAGATCACGTTGCCTAGCTTCAACTCCATCTCCTTCTCTCCACGGACGGGTATACGCTGACCGGTGGCTGTTACCAAATTATTGCGTTCTAGGTTGTATGCGGAGTCCCCAAGGAACTGACTTATAAGTTGGGAACTAACAACCGTACGAGAGGCTGCAGTGTCTATGGTCAGTTTACACGGCATTCCGTTGACCTCGCCCTTGATGATTAGACTGTTCCCATCATGGGTTTGTGAGATCGAGATACTTGGGGCTCTTTTAACATCAGCCAGCACCCGCCCCGCAGTTCTGGCTTTTACTCGTTTCCCTGTGCTGCTGGGCGGTGCTGTTGGCCGCAATACCCTCCTGAGATCGTTCACCGTCCCTTTCTAGGGTTCGCTTAGGGCAGCTGGATCGAAGATGGCCCTTTTCCCCACAGCCATAGCACCTTGGGCTGTATCCTTTGTTGCGGTCGCGAACTGTAGCTGCTGCAACCTCCCTGACGCGATGGGAACGATGATCCTGCCGCACGGCTTCCACTTCCAGTGCATGGGCCAAGGCGTCCTTAAGCATCTCATGGTGCCCGAGCCTCACAGCAGCTCTTACTTCCAGGTCGCGGATGCCGTCGATGAATGTCTGCACCAGGTTCCCTTCAATGAGCGCAGGTACAGACCGGTATGCTTTTCGCACCAGCTTCTCCACTTCTAGAGCCCACTGCTGCAGGTTTTCGTTGATGCGCTGCACACGATCTTTAAGCTGCGCACGAAAGACGTGTTCCAGGTGAGCGTTACCATATCCCGCCTCCAATGCCTCAAGGAGTTGCTCATAAGTCACTTCCTCACCGAGAGCTTCCAGGACTGTTAAGGCCTGGTCGCGTAGGCCTAGTGTGAGAGCAGTCATGGCCTGACTTTTATTCCAGCCGTTCGCCTTCATAACAGCCTCGAACTGGATTTTGTAGGCTGACCAGGAAGAGGTACCGTCGAACGGTGGCACCTTGAACTCACGTAGCGAAGGTGTTGTAGCTACTACGGGAGCTGTAGCTCCATCTCCAAGTTTAAGTTCGTCCAGTGATTTCTTCATGTCAGCCATTACGTTGTCAACCCGATTGTTTACTTGGTCGATTCGGGTTTCAGCTTTCTCGATTTGGGTTTCAGCTTCCGACAGGCGTTTGTCATGCTGAGCAACCCTATCCTTCACCTCCTTTATCTCCTTCCCGAAGGTAGCGTGAAGGTCATTCATGAGGAGCATCTGTTCCTCCTGTCGGCGGGCCTGTTCCTCTTGTCCGCTCTGCAGCTGCTCTTTCCACTGACGGACCTGTTCCTCCTGTCGGCGAGCCTGCTCCTCCTGTCGGCGAGCCTGCTCCTCCTGTCGGCGAGCCTGCTCCTGCAGCATCACCATCAGGGCGCCTTAATCAGGTGCTGCAGATGCAGGAGCTACTGACGAACCGGCCTCCGTTGCCGGCAGCTGGCCCTCCGACGTCTGCGGCGTTGCACCACCAAATCTTCTCTGGTCCGTCTCATGCTGGCGTTGACTGCGGGTACGAACACCCTCCGTTTCCTCCTTAGGTAAAATTGGCATGATTTTATCCCACTTCTGACACCAATTGTTACGAGCTTGAGGTTCGTGACAATAAAAATTGCCGATAAAATTACCTAAATTAACACTTTAATTTACTTTACACAAATTAAAACTAAAAACACTAATAATTAAACACACTAATTCACTTAATTCCGCTCCGAAGCTTCGCTTGTGTCGCCGAGTTCAACTCTGCCCGATCGCATCTTGCAGCGCCTACTTATATAAATTAGCAAAATATCCAGAATGTTCAAGTAAACACGCGCAAGGTACCGAGAGTTCGAGTTTTAAACTTCAAGAAGTTTAGTTCTTTGGTTCGAGACTAGATGGCGTTAGTGCGCCGATTTTAGCGCGTAACAATAGCTTACAATCATGTTTACAATTAACAACACAAGACAAATTAGAAATAGCTTGGTAGCGATCACCCTTCCCAGGGGTTATTATCATCCATAAATTCCTTAATATTATAATAACCCTTTTTATACAAACTTAGTTTAATAACATTTTTGAACTTTGTGTATGACAAATTTTGTATATTTTCGGGGATTTTGTTGTAAAAGCGTATACATCACCCCAAGAATGAATTACTGACTCGGTGGAGTCGAGTAACTGGTACTACTAGCTTGTGTCTGCTCCTAGTATTTACAGAATGAATATCACTTATTTTCGCAAAACTACTTTTATTTTTGTGTACGTACATTACATTTTCATAAATGTATTGAGAGGCCAGAGTTAATATATTGATTTCCTTAAATTTTTGTCTCAGTGACTCTGAGATGATGAGATTTGGTTTTAAATTATATATTGCTCTAATGGCCCTCTTCTGCAAAATAAATATACTTTCAGTGTCAGTCGCGTGTCCCCATAGCAAAACACCATACGACATAATGCTATGGAAATAACTAAAGTTAACTATTCTAGCTGTTTCAACACTGGTAAGAGTTCTAATCTTTTTTACAGCATATGCTGCAGAACTAAGTCTGCTAGCTAGTTTTGATATATGAGGGAGCCATTGAAGCTTTGCGTCCAGTGTGATTCCAAGAAAAATGGTGGTATCAACAAGACTCAGTTCCTCCCCATTTAAAATTACATTAGTATTGACATGTTTAACATTAGGAGTGACGAATTTCATACATTTAGTTTTAGTTCCATTCAAATGCAAATTATTAACATTAAACCAATTGACTAATTTAGCTATAGCATTATTTACTTCGTCATAATTTAATACTGTCGTTTTAATTTGTAAATTAATGAAGTATCATCAGCAAATAATACTATATCATGGTTATCCCCTGCTATGTAAGGGAAGTCATTAATATATACAAGAAACAGAAAGGGACCGAGCATTGAGCCCTGAGACACGCCCATTTGTACTATCGACCCGGAAGATCTCATACTATTGATGACAACTTTTTGCGTTCTGTCACTTAAATATGAAATAATTAATTTAAGAGCATCGCTTCTTACACCGTAGTGTTGAAGTTTTCTGATTAATGTTTCATGGTGAACACAATCGGAGGCTTTGGATAGGTCACAGAACACACCGAAAGCATCCTGTGAATTCTCCCATGCATTAAATATATATTTAATCAGCTCAACACCAGCATCAATTGTCGAGCGACCCCTTGTGAAACCAAATTGATTTTTATGAGGTAAATTATTTACATAATGATTTCTTAAATTTACGCGAACACTACACATTGAATAAAACTAAATTTACGGATTTTATCGCGTTTATTTCACTACTTTTACTTATTTTTAATTCCCGACGTTTCGGGTGCTTTACAGCAACCATATCCAGTCCAGTCCCCCCCGTCGCCATGGTTGTTGTAAAGCACCCGAAACGTCGGGAATTAAAAATAAGTAAAAGTAGTGAAATAAACGCGATAAAATCCGTAAATTTAGTTTTATTCAATAAATTATTTACATTAAAAAATTTAACATTTGATCAAGAATAATTTTTTCAAAAATTTTACTAAGTGTTGGCAGTACAGAAATAGGTCTAAAATTAGCGGGGTCCAATGTACTACCAGATTTAAATAAAGGTATTACTTTACTATGCTTCATTAAATCAGGAAACACACCAGATTCAATACTAGTATTAAAAATAATAGATAGTTGAGGTGCAATTATATCTATTATAGACGCAATAATTTTAACGGAAATTCCCCACAGATCGGCGGTTCTCTTAATATCAATAGTCTTAAAATATTTTACAATATCTTTTGATGACAATTTATGAAATGTAAAATTCTTTGTACACACATTTACAAATTGTTTAAGTAATGATTCGGCGACGGCAGGAGAAGAATTCAGTAACTTAGTGGTTAAGATCAGAACATCAGTAAAATATTTTTCATAAACCATTGCAACATCCTGATCTGTTTTAGTTAATTTATTGTTAAAATATAACTGGTAGTTTGAATTGCGAGAGTTGACCTTACCAGTTTCACTATTAATTATAATCCATGTCATTTTAATTTTATTAGAAGCAGTCTTTATTTTGTTGCTCAAGTACTTGGCTAAGGAGCACACTCTTTTAAATATTTTGGATATTTTTTTTACATATTCCCTAAATTCAACGCTCGGATTATATGTACCTTTACTCTCTACCTTTCATTGTAAAGTTCATATAACCTTTGTCTACTCTTATGGACTCCTACTGTCGCCCATTCATTAAATGCCTTGCGATTGTTCAAGGAGAATGTATTAGAAGTAAAAGTAATATTAAATTCATTGCAAATGAGCTTAAATAATGTTCCATACAAAAAATTTGGATTATTTTGGTATGAAAGTAATGGAAGTTTTTTTACTATGTTACTTCTAAACTTCTCCAAGCAATGTGCATTTACTGGAACAAACGGTAATGAAACTAATTGTCCACAGTGATCAGAGCCCAATTTTTAAATTATACATTTATTGAACGGCTTAACATTTGTAAAAATGTTATCTATACATACTATTAACAAGTACAATTACAAGTAACTATTAACCAAGTTAACGGATTCAAGGGGGGGTCGATTCCTATTTTCAACAGCTCTATATTTTTGTCTAGTGACTGCTTGTGATGTGTGATATTATTTATTGCTTTCCAGAGCATCTTAGGGTTTCTGGTGGCATTAATTATCTTAATAGACAAACTAACATTTGTCCCAGCAAACGCCATCTTGACGGTGTGCACAATTCTTGGCCTGGTATTGCCTGACCTGAAGCATGTCAGTCTACCGATGAGGGCCCAAGCCTTTGCGATACGTTCTTCAATTCTTATTCTCCAGGTTGGGATAGCACTACTTTGTCCCGTAGCGCGTCCAGCCGTGGAAAGTTTGACGTCTGTAATACGGCAGGCTGCCAGTGCGGCGCCAAAAAGAATTGAGTCTGTCTCGAAAAGGTCCCGGCTGGCTTCCAAATAGGTCACCAGCATTGGGTTGAGAGCCCTCACGACAGCCCGATTCCGCTTGCTGAGGGCTATGCGGGGAAGTCGCACAAACCCAAAAATAGTCTAACCTGCGTCTTGCCTTTTGGAACAGGCCAGTTCTCGACACCGACGATTTTCCTCCGATTTTCGGCGACCTTCTCCCGACACTACATACTCCAAAAAATTTACTTGCCCTTTGAATAGTAACCATATTTC